ACTATTAATAACGTCAAGTTCAGTAAACTCTGTTTAGATTTGAGTATAAACCGCATGAAAATGTCTAACATTCCGACATTCGACAGCGAAGAAGGATACGACGTCACGAAACAGGAGTATTATTCGAAAAAGAGATGCACTTTTTTGTGCTGTGATTGTTTCCATAAAAAATATACATTTCGCCTGTGGCATATTCTGCTATTCCTGTTTATAATAATCGTCATTATTGGTGCACTAGCAGTTATAATCGCAATGTTTAGCCCTGCAAGAGGTCCAGATATGAAATACTCGAATAAAATCGGATCAGACACTCCTGAAGGCGGCTGTAAAGGTAACTGTACGCTGAGGAACCAGCAATTTTGTGTAATTATTCATAATTGTCATCAAGGTGGCGAATGGTCCAAATGCACGCCTCTCTTGTTTTTTCTGCCGGCCCGGGTCTACCTTATCCAAAAAAAAAAAAAAATTGAAAACTGTGGACTGATTAAAAAAATAATAATAAATAAACCGATTTCCAACGTTTTGATCATTTCAAGACGTGATTACCGGCATGCACGACTTCTGTAGTTCATTAAGTAAATTATTGTAAGCGTTTAATTTACTCTGCCTCGGCGTTTTATGTTCTTGGACAGGCTCTTGTTTCACAAGCTTTCCATAAGCGTGGATGTATAGGACTGGCGATGTTTCGTGATTTCAACTTTACTTGCTCAGGATACAGTGGATGCTAGGACAATTCTGTTAGAAAATCAAGAGCTCGAGATAATTTCGAAACCCCCAAACGGGATAAATGGTCAAAAAAAATTCAACAGCAACTTGAAAAAATGACAGACACTCGATGTACGCTCGAGCTCATACTAACAGCTTTTCAATGGTTTCCATTTGTAACCGACTTCTGTTAAAGAAATATTGGTTGACGGAAAATTAGGGGGGGGGGGGTGTTATATCACAGTGGATCCACTAAAACCTGGTAAACAGAAAGAACAGTTTCATAGTTCGCGACGTTTGTTCTTCTTGAAATTTCTCACCGCAAAAGTGGAAGTCCCTTGCTACGGGAAATAATACAAAATATGTTGACTTTGAGCTGACGTAACGTGGACACGAAGGAATGCTGTTTCATGTTAGACTTTTTGTTGAAAGCAGAGGCGGGTGCATACGAAACCGACCTTTGAGTTTTCATCCATGTTTCATTTTGGCTTTAATTCCGTTTCTTAATATCAAGATGTATTCTACCTATATTAAATAAATCATGATCAAATGAAATGTGAAAAGAATTCAATTATCGAACTTTCAACGTCAAAACTAATTATAGCTTTGACACAGGAAATTGTCTTTAAATTGTGGTCACGTTTCAATGTTGCAGAGAGGCAAACTGTTATTTTCTAAAACGTGCTGACTAAAACTGTAGATGATGGGTTTTATTATGATTTGCAAAGACGATCAGTTATCTCCGACAAGAAGGAGTTATGTAAGGATATTGTACATTACCGTCAGTGAATGAAGATTACCAGCATGCATCGCATAGATTACAGGATTAGAATTGGAGGTTGTGAACTGCTCCGAAGCAAAACATTGCGCAAGCATTAAGCAAGGTTAAAACAAAAGTTGTCAATTCTGTTGTATTTTCACTGAGAAATTCGTATTTCAAAAAGATTTTGTTCCCGGTAAAAATTTAGGGTGATAAAGATAAACTATTCCAGCATGATATTTGCCTAAATATGCTTTATTTGCCGATGACATTTCCATTCTTATTACACTGAATCTCAAGAAACAGAATTAATTTTGTGAATTTGAAATTTTAATGTGAAGCACCTTAAATAATATTTACTGTAGACATTAAGCGGTGATAAGACTGAGAAGCTTCGTTTGGGAAAACGTTCTTAGACAGATCTGACAATACCTGCGGGACGTAACACCAGGTCCTGTCATTAGGAAAACGTAAATCAACTCAGCCGTATATGCGTGACCAATGTAGTTGTGTACGTTACAATGACACTTCTTTTGAGATTTAGTGTAGGAGTTATAGATGACTATAAGATTGTCAAAAATGTTTCAAAAAAGAGCACTGTGGTTTTTGGTGGGGTAAATAAAAAACAGCCATGTTACTGAGGCTGAAGGATGTTTTCCTTCCTGTCATTTGGTGGCGAACTCAGTCAAAGAAGTGTTATCTGTATGACGTAGTTTAGAGTGAAGCTATGATGAGGAGGTTCGACCCTTCGAGGCCTGCAAGGACACTACACGGAAACTACAATGACCACTAATGAAATAACTACCAAGCGCACATTCGACAGCTCGACAACCCTGAGTATATGCGAAGAGGGCTTCGCGGTCACGAAGGAAAAGTGTTTTTTGCAAAAGACATGCACTTTTCAAGTATGACATATTCAATTATTCTTGACTATGATACTCACCATTACAGCAGTTGTGGCGAGTGTATCGGCAAAGTATGCCCCTGGATCAGGTACTGCAGCGATGTTTGTACTTAAACTTCATTTGAAATCGTTTTTTTTTTTCTTTGAAAATAGTTGCTATAATGACAAGTTAACCAAATGCCACATACGAGATAACACTCTCTTTTTCCTGTTGGTGCGAATCTCAATACAGTCTGAAAATATCGTGGTAGAGACTTAAATTGCTTCGAGACCAGCGGTCGGAGTTGTTGTTACTAAGCGAAATTGTTATAATTGTGATGCGATGCGTTAAAAAACAAGTCAATAACTGAATTTTTAATTAATGTAGCTCTACAGCTTAAAACTCCTTCCAGTCTATCCCGACTTATCTCGAATGAAAAACTACACTTGTTGAACGGAAATTGATCGGATTTTCATGAATAATACTTTTAATGAACTATAGTTTGATTTTTCAACCTTTCTTTTCTGGAAAAAGTAAATTTTCAGTTTCAGAAATGCATAGAGACACCTTGTGCGGGAAAATTTCTTCCCGAAAACTACTCGTCATTGCGATTGACGCGCAATTTGGTCACCGATCTCATGATCGCCTCCTGCAAAGCAGGTTAGTCAAAGTGTCGGTTCAGTTTCGTTTATGCCAAGCTTTCTCTAATCGCAATGATCAATTGCTTCTTAGGATGGGAGATGGAGGAAGTTGCCTGTAGTTAGGAGATATCTGCAATTACAATTTACTGACTGTTTTAAATTGCGAGAGATCGAAATAAATGGGCGTGATGGGGAGTTTCACGCCAGCATATTCTTTAACATTATGAGGACTACTTAAACAATACCGACAGAACTTTCGCAACAGGTAAGGAAACTGAACCACTTTCTAGCCAAAGACTACTATTAGCTCATAGCTAGAAATCGAAGACATCATGGCGGCTAAGCATGCGCATAAAAGACAAATTACGGAGTTTAAATATGGCGGCTGCATAAGGCTTTCTGTGGGAAAATTTTGAAAATCAGACACAGAAATTTTCTCGAAGCGTGTACTAAAAATGCCCTTGTCTGAAATGTATTAGAAGAGTGTCCAGATCACTCACCTCCGTTCTCAAACTCTTACGATTTCGCTACGATCTGTCCCAGTCGAAGAAACTTTAAACCTTTTTGGTGCCCTAAGTGTCTTAGAATGGCTTATGTTGGTCAGCTAAAGCTTCTCCTGCAGCCACAACAAGGGTTATTTTATCAATTGCCCACGTCTGTTCGATCTCTTCAAAAGCCGACCTTCTAATTGAAGGCTATTTGAAGTCATAAAAGTGTGAATCCACGCTGCCAAACGACTTCCACGACTCCAAAATTTTTTTTTTTCTTATGGGTCTTGTTCCCAGTAGAGACGTTGACTCAAAAACTAAAATTATAAGATCTGAAAACATATCAAAGAACTCTTCGATCGCCATTTTGTAAAAACATAGTAACCTAGCCTGTTATGGACAATACCGCTACAGGGTAGCTACTGAAGGCTCAAAGATTGACATAGATTTCAGCATTGGCGCGAAAATAATTTGACTTGAAAAACAAAATAGTAAGCTTCTTACTTGGACAAGATTTTAACAGCTTCTCAAGCAATATCTCGGAAAGAAAATAATAAAGAAGTTATCAGCGCTGCAAAATGTCTGATACACCTCCATTTGATTCATTTTTAAAATGGAAGTTGGGGATTGAAAGTCCCTCTTTAGCCTATGCTGCCAAGACAGTGACAAGGAATATCATCTTAGCTGTGGACGTACCCTACCCTTTGCTGAAATTGTTGCATGATTTTATCAAGACACAGAAAAATGATAGAAATCACACCTATGGCAATGGAGAACCATTTTGTTCAACCCCATCAAATTTGCACATGCATGAGTCAAACATGAAATTATCTTATACTTATGTTGATCTGTTTGATTACTCTGTTCCGGGAAATGCATTTGCAATTAGCAGTGATGAAAAAATTAGACTAGAAGTTAATGAATCTTTAAGAAAAATTTGTGGAAAAGTACAAAGTGAATATGCAAAGGCCAAAGGGACGAGGAGGAAAAAGGAACTCAACTCAAAAAAGAAGATGTTTGATTTTAGTGGGATGCGCAGACGCAGTAAGGTGAAACGCAGCTTGTGTTGCGTCCGCGACATCAGCCGCTGACTGACCTCGATTTCTAGCCATGTGTTCAGGCGACAACCGCGAAAATTCAAACTTTGCTATGATAACTAAAGCATCTACTACACCTGATCCAAAACCAATCATAAGAAATTAGAAATTACAAATACCACTGCAACTCCATTTTAGGGGCCACAGGCCAAATCCCTCTCCACCCCCCCTCCCTAAATATATACTTAGACCTGTATGGGTGAAGTATGGGCGGGATGATGCGCAACATTGTCCTATTTTATGTCGTTATTTCAGGCAACGAGGCTGTGAAGCGTCAAATACCGCATCGTTTAACATTTATAGCCGTCGGAGTCATTTATTGTTATCTTGGCAATGAGGGCAAACAGGGAAAAGTTATTTTATTATAATTTTTCTTAGAAAAAAAGTAAATCAAAACAATGTAAAACGAATGTTGAACTTCTTCTATTATTTCATCAGGTGATGAAGAGTCCACTACAGCACCAACAGAATCTTCTGGCACAACCAAAGAAACGGACGTAACCACAAAAGGGAAACCAACAGAACTTCCGATCACCACCGAGGGAACTGAGCCAAAACCCAGTCAGACATCAACAACTCCTCAGGGAACAACGGTGAAAACTGAGCCTTCTTCTACTAATACTGAAACAAAAGCCAGTGTGAAACCTTCAACCGGCCCACAAACGACAGTAAAAGTCTCACCTACCACTGCAGCTCCCACCTCGGAGGCAACGACTCAAACCACGACAGGACCTAAAACAACCCAGGCTACTACTACAGCACAACCAAAAACCACAGAAAAACCAACAACTAGAGCACAACCAACAACCTCACAGAAAGCAACAACTACTTCTCCATCAACAACCACTGCTCCAACAACCACAGATAAAGCAAACCCACCAACATCCACTGCTTCAACAACCACAAAAAAACCAACAACCACGGAAAAAGCAGCAACTACTGCTCCACCAACAACCACTGCTCCAACAACCACAGCGCAACCAACAACCACAGAAAAACCAACAACTACCGCTCCACCAACAACCACTGCTCCAACAACCACAGCGCAACCAACAACCACAGAAAAACCAACAACTACCGCTCCACCAACAACCACTGCTCCAACAACCACAGCGCAACCAACAACCACGGCAACAACCACTGCTCCACCAACAACCACAGCGCAACCAACAACCCCAGAAAAACCATCAACCACCGCTCTGAAAACCACAGCACAACCAACAACTACAGAAAAACCATCAACAACTGCTGCTCCAACAACCACAGCACAACCAACAACCACAAAAAAACCATCAACAACTGCTGCTCCAACAACCACAGAAAAACCATTAACCACTGCTGCTTCAACAACCACAGCACAACCAACAACCACAGAAAAACCATCAACTGTTGCTCCAACAACCACAGAAAAACCATCAACTGCTGCTCCAACAACCGCAGAAAAACCACCAACTGCTGCTCCAACAACCACAGATAAACCAACAACTACTTCAGCTACAGCTACTGCCGCATCAACTGCTGGGCCAACAACGGCAGCACCGACCACGGGCCCTCAAATAAATATTTTAGAGTGCGACACAGCCATAGTTGGAGCAGGTGAGAACTTGATACCATCGTTTGGCATCAGATTCTGCAAGGGATAGTTACTCTTGAGTAACTTAAACGTGAACCATTCAAGTCTCTTAACCCTCTATTTTATCTACTTGCCATAAATTTCTTTTTAAGAAAGTGAGGGAATTTGTCATATCAGGATAACACTTTCAGATAACACTCTTGTTACGTTTTCAGATAGTGTATTAATTTTGTCATAGGAAGTCAGACATTGCACCAGTAATCTTTTTGATAATCTCTTTAATTCTTTAAAGTCTATTTCCTTAATTTATAGGTGCGGGTGGCTTATTGGTGGCATATTCACTTTTTGACAAGACGAATGAAACAAGCGTCTGCGTCTTCGACACAGAGGACAGCGTTGAAAACATTTATGACCATGTTTTTCCCCAGGTACCGGATGTTGTAGTAGGTAAGTTAACATAACACCAAGAGTCAAGCTTTATCTAGGTAGTAATCAATAGCTATGTTTTAGTTAGCGACTAAAAAGCTATTGTACATCGTTTACTTGCTTCACCAACGTTTAAAGACAACGTTTCCCCTTTTTTTTTTTTTTTTTTTTTTTTTTTTTTTTTCAGGCTTAGGGCAGTGGGACATTTCCGGTGACAACTATGCAGAACAGTAAGCTTCAATTTTTCTCAAACATATTACCAAGTTCGTATCAATAAACATAAATCGTGACAGTTTTTTGAAATGCTCGAAGGCGCCAAAGAATTTTTAAGAGTAAAAAACTACGTCGTTATATGAGAGCCATTTCACAGAAATTTTCTTGAATATAAATTCTAACCATGAAATGTGTAGATGTATTATAAGGGTACCCAAGCATAGATGAGCTACCAGAAAAAGAGCTGATCTCACAAATGAACTGCGGCCTGCACTCATTTGTCTCATATGGACTTCGAAAATATTGGAACCCATTCCCCGCTGATATTAATTAGGCGTCATTGCTAACTGAGCAACATCTTGAAAGCGAGGCAAATTTTCGTTACTGTCGTATCATGCGCATCTTGAACTCTGATTTGCTTCATTTAACCATGGACATTGAAGAATAAAGGAAAGAAGACAACAGAAACGAATAAGGAGGCCAGCCAGTAATGGAGACAATAATATCGCATCGCAAATCAAAATTATAGAGAGATTATGACAGAATGTAAATTCGAACGAATTGTGACGTACACATAATTTTGAAGGAATTGATTCAATTGGATTAATTTCTGTTTTTATTTTCAGGGACCTTGTACATCATTTATTCAACAGCAATGATACCTTGTGGAATCCAAAAACTAAACGTGTTGAAGCTCGTGGACAGTTTACAAATAGCTTTGATGATCTGAAGTTTAAAGCATTTCCAACTTTGCGACACCGCGCGCCACTCAACAATAAAACACTCACGGAAACTGCGGCTTTCATCTATAATGATCAGAGGAATTTCACGCAGTTCTCAACCGCGGAGACTTTCCTTTCGTACGAACTGTCCCCGGAGGGAACCAAGCTTATGGCAGAAAAGTTTGGCTTCAAAGGTGACTACATGCAAGCCATAAATCCAATGAGTTATAGAACTTATCTTGAGAAAGAATACCATATGAACTCCGCATCAGCAGATGCGAAAAGGCCTCCTAATTCCAAAGGAATGTCAGAAATTGTCAAAGAGCTCACTAAAAAAGTGAAAAGTGGAGGCGGTAAAATTTATCGTAAAGAGACAGTTGCTTCGATCAACAAAGAAGGAGATAAATTTCTTCTTCAAACAACAAAATTAACTGTGAAAGCCAATAAAACAGTTATCACCGTTGGACCAGCTGCTCTGAAGAAGATCGAAGGTGAGGTCATTCGAAATATTACAGGCCATCAAATATTCGAATCAATTGTTGGTGTGCCTGCATTCTATGGGGCAGCAGTATATGATAAACCATGGTGGAATGACACAACTGCCACTCAAAAGAGCAACAACTTGGAGCCTTTGGAGAAGTTCATATCCAGCAGTGACTGCCTGGGAATTACCATGCCTTACAAGTTAGTAGTCATAAATCTTAGCAACCTTCCATAAAGTTTCCAAAGAATTAATAATTCGTCGATCAATTCTAAGCCTCTATATCTTCACGGTGATTCTTCCCCCCCCCCTCCCCACCGGGTATTTGAACTTTCTAAGAATGGTTTGTACAAATCCCCCCCGGGGCCAGAACTACGTTCAAATGCTCCACTCAAACACAATTTTTCTATCGAACGATTCTTTGTGTGATCAACGAATGTTGTAGAATAAAGCGGTCACGTACACAGTTTTTGGGCCGCTGTTGGATTTTTTTCTTGTACGCATCATTCTGCGATGTAAGAGTATTCTTCTAAGCCATTCGACCACGAAAGCGGACTCTTAACTTCTAAATTCCTCCAATAAAATCAAAGCATGTATTACACGGATTTAAATTACACACCCTACTCAGACAAGGTTCGAATTCCCCATGGGTTGCCCCGGGAAATGTTGAAACATCGAATTGGTCGGTGCATAATTTCCCTCTGCGTAAAAAGCTGACTTCTACAATGTTCTCCAGCATATCTTATGGAATAGCAAGTTTAATTCCACTTGTGAAATAGCATCAAAAGTCTTGCCCATTTACACTGAAAAAGGTGATTGTAAATTGGGAAACTGGGAAATATCACACCGATACTCCCGAGCTAGACTATGATGAAGCAAATTAAGCCATGTGATGTTTTTTGAGTATCGCGCTCGTGCCGAAGTAATTAGTGAACTAAATATTTTATTGCGACTTGTCATTCAAAAGCCTGCTCCTGTTCCTTATATCTATGATAGAGGTAGTGGAACCAGCGGAAAAGTGGTCTTGCACACAATAGCTAATAACGGAGGATGCAGCGATAAGTGGGGGAAACTTTTGGAGATTTCTACATCTAATGATGTTATCGACAAAGAACTAAAACGCGCTCTGAAGTACAAGTTTCAACGTAATATTCCCGATCCTTTGGAGACTAGGTACAAATATTGGAAGGAAGGGTTTTGGTAAGTGCAGTGTTGAAAGATTAAAAAAGTATAATAATCAGTTATTATTGCTTTTGTTTTATCATAAACGCCATTTTTGATAATGGTGTTCTTAAGACAGTTTTTCTCTTGATTCTTAAGTTGTAATCTATTTTTCTCGTCAACAGCAATGATCTGCGTTTCGTTTCGTCTCAAAATCCATGCTCTAAATTTACGGATTTGTACGCTGCATATTCACTGCAGAGAAATGTGAGATCATATCTTCTTCTGTATGGTCTTTCTCATTGATATCTGCTGAACGCAATGAGTGTGGATGTGGACGAACGAGCGGCCCTAAATTTTCCGCCCGCAGTCGTTTCGTTTCGCGGATATTTAGAAGAAGAAAGAGATCCGTTGTCAACGAGCGAATGTCAACTTTGCTCACTTTTGACACGTTCAATTCTGCGCCATTTTTGTTTTGTTTTGTTCTGTTTTGTTTTGTTTTTTTTTTAATGAAGAGTTCTGATTTTTAGATTTCATAATTCAATGACGTAGGTTTTTTCAGAAGCCTGGGGCCAACTTTAGCTCAACGACCATTCGGCAATGGGCGAGACGACCGCTGACCGGACAAGATGTGTTCTTAGTGAACAGAGCGTATTACGATTTCGGTGGATATCTGGAATACACCATACGATCTGCTCTTGAGGCCGTCAAAGAGGGTTGGAATTTGCTTGAATTATGATCCGTAAAAGCCCTGAATACTTAGATTTTCTGGTTTAATGATGGCATGAAAACGAGATCTTCTTGACTACTCAAAGAGGGTTTTTATGGCTTCCATTTTATGATGACTGGCAAGAAAAGAACATTATATTTTTGTAAAAGATGCGAAGATTATGACTAAGAAAGTATTTAGTTTAGGTGACTTTGAGTCTTAAAGTTTGTTTAAAAACGTCTATCTTTTTTTCTGGCGCATGCCTTGTAATTCAAATAATATGGAGATTCAATTAAACATTGTAAATAGTTTTAATTCTTATGTATCCCATTCAAATAAGACCTCTTTATTGACGTCAATGATAATCATTTAATTATTTCTATTGAGGCATTTTATGTGGCTTTGTCGGGTGTCAGTATGCAAAGAGAACAATCAGTGTAATCAGTGTGATCTCCCTGCGTTTATAAAGAGATGTAAAACTAATTCGTTCGTTAGGGAAAGAGGAACATCGTTGTAGAGTATAACTGATAGATTTAAATAATTCATAAAGTATTCTCATTCGTTACCTGTCCTGCAAGTGTCTCGTTAGTTTTTGTGTTTGCACTTTAAGAAGCTCTTATTTTGAAAGTGACTTAAGTAGCGTTCATGCTCGGTTTCGTTCGCGGAAGGGTGGCCATGTTGGGGGAAAGCTCTCCCTTTTCGAGAGGTGCTGCATAATGAAGACCGAAGACCGACGAATTCTAACGTAAAAAGGCATGAGGATGACGGCTGACTCATGATACGTTTGGCACCATGCGCTGTGTACGTGTTAGGCGTCGAAATGGCATCTTACCGTAACAAGGCGTTAGTGACAAACTCGTACCCATGGTTTGACTGGTACTTAACGACGCATGTGCAAGGCATAAAATTTATGTCACTGGCTTTAAATCATATTGAAAACCTAAAAGAAAATAGTAAACTAAACCAAAATGTAAAAAACCTCCAATGAGCTAGCATACTTTATGAGGTGACCTTATTAAGTGCCATTTAGCTGTCTTTTGTCTCAGTTGAATCAATTCAAACTTACAGTTTGTATAATTGGGGTAGCATGTCTATGAGACTCTCTATCTTACAAATATATTTAGAATTTATTTGAACGTTTTCTAGCCTGATGTTTGTTTGTATCAACGTAAAGTTTCCAACCCCTATTCATTGAACCATTTCTGTTCATACCATGGAAATGCAAGTTTCCCCATGACAAAATTTCATATTCGTTCATCCTTTTACATACTTCCCACTTAACACAAGAAACAACATGGTTCAAAATACTGTGAAAATTTAAAGTCCACACAAAACAAAATACTTGAGAAATACATGTCTAATTAAGTCTAGCACGCTCACTAACATATATTTCTTGTGCGGTGTTTCTTTGCAACCAGGATTTGATTTCCTCTTCCATTTCTAGTTTGTAAAGGAGACTTCTATTTTCTGTCAAACTTACCTGCCATAGAGCAAAGGATACGTTTTGCCACTCTTCTTGAAATAGGGCTGACAAACTGCTGTGATGCATGAGCCAATGTGTAAAAAGTAACATCTATGGTGATTAAGATTAAAAACTCTTTGATCCACTGTCCTACAGTGTTCCTAAAAGTCAACAGAAAGGGAAGATAAAAAGTTTTAAACAGAAAAATTAAATGATTTTCACAGGCACACAGAAAACATTTTGAATGGAACACTAAACAATTTGCTTTTTTGCATAGTATATTGATTAGACTTTTTCTGGTTTCCTTTGTTTTGAATATACATACTGCAGCTGTATTTTAACCCTTTAGACCCTAACATCAGTATGCATATTCCCCCTTCTCTAATCTATACATTTTATTAAGCGCTATAAAAAAGAAAATTTCCTTTATTCTCGTCACCTTGATGTGTGATTCAGGGCTAATTGATCAGCCTTTTTTTTCTTTTTGGCGCGGTATTGAAAAATCACTACGTGCCAGGAAGATTTTGTTTTGCAAATGCCTTTTGGTAAAAATCCGACAATCAAATAGCTGCATAATACCTGAGTATAAATTTATGTACAACTTTCTGCTGCCATGTAGCTGAGGTTTATTTTAAGTAACACTGCACCTTACCGATAACATTAAAGATGGGGAAAATAAACACATTTAATAAAGCATTTTCCTTCGTATTCATTTACTAAATATACTTTGCACAAAGCGCAGGAAATGGCATTTCCGAGACCCTTAATTTGAAAAATTTTGGGGGGAGCATGCCCCTAGATCCCCCGGGTTTGGAGCGCCGCTCAATATTTTCTACTCGTCCGTACACCTTAGAAATTTCACGTTACGCCCTTGCGCTTTTCGAGATGATTTTGAAGAAATCTAAAAACATTGAACGATGCAATAACCAGCTGATCAGTTATACGAAACATTAAAATATATATATACTAACGGTTTAACAATTCATCAGCGGCGTTACGATAACGGGTTATTTCATAATTTCGTTCGTCTATTGACGTATAAGTAATTTCATCACGTGGAAGCCACAAAGTTTGTGGGATGTGCTTTATTATAAATATCTCAATGACAACGAGATTTTGTAAATATTATAATTCCCCGCGATAAATATGCAATTACTGAACTAGAAGCAGGGAATTACAAAGGAGTACTGAACTCTTGCCGTTACGTCTGGCTTCTCGGTTTCATTTCTAAATGGCATACTGCTGGTATATCGGGAATTCCTAGGTGTAAGCAAGGACACATTCAAAACTTCAATAGGTATTAGATCGCACAGTGCGCCGAGACTTTATCTTCTTTTGTGAGATACTAGAATCGATAGCCAAAAACGGCCCATAATAATGTTAATCTTGAGAAAACTACCAGTTAAATTAAGAAAATTAGCATAAAAGTCCTCTACATAATTACAATTTTGCAGTCGAAAAAAAGCTATAGATCTGGAAACTTCTATCGAAAATCCTTAATCTAACATGTCCATTTGTGACTAAAGATTTCAAACCGAAAACCAAATGCATTGAATGATGCTTATTTGGAAAGTACAACTGCCATTTGATGTTTATATCTAAAAATTATCATCAAAAACATTATGCAACCTTTATTCTGGAATCTTTTAACCACGCTTGAAAAATATCATGAGAGAGAATGGTTTGAGAAACGAGGAAATTATTCGTATCATTATTATTCGCGAATATGAAAGCTATTTTCGCAGTAATGTACACTACTTGAGCAGTAGTAAAAATAAGGCCTGGAAAAAATTCAGGCCTGTGCGGAGAACCCATGACCCCCACGACACCGGTGCAGCGCTTTACCAACCGAGCCAACAAGCCAACTGGGAGCTGGTCATTATGATGGTTCCAAATAAACCCGGTTGTCTCGGTTGGTAGAGCGCTGCACCGGTGTCGCAGGGGTCATGGGTTCGAGTCGCCGCAAAGGCCTGAATTTTTTTAGGCCTTATTTTCACTACTGCTCAAGTAGTGTTCATTACTGCAAAGATCGCTTTCATATTCGCGTCTTTATCTGCAGTTCAAATATATGACTTTCATATATTCATAGTCGTTTATCTATCATTATAATTATTATTTCAATGCACCAGTAGATTTTATAATTACTATAACAACGAAAAATATATATATTTGATTGACTAGAGAACGGAAAATAGAGGAAAATTATTGAAAACGAGATTCTTCCCTCTAGGAAACCAACGCAGCCAGAATTAGCGAGGATATTAAAGATGTAATAGAACGAAAACTCTAAGTTCCAAGAGGAGAGGGCAAATACTAAGGATAAATCTTTCGGCTCCTTATTGGCAAAGGCCAGCACTCCAAATTAAAATTCAGTCTGAAAACAGTGGAAAAGAAGAGCCACCTAGTGGAATATCCATAGTTAATTTTCCATTTATAATTATCATTACTATTATTGCTATTATTATCATTTTTATTATTATTGTTATTATTATTTTTATTACCATTATTAAGCTCCTTCCAACGCAACGTGCCAAAAAAGTAAAACTATGCCATTTTTAGTATTTTACTGGTTGTAGAATAAATCATGAGGATTAATATCCTTACTAATCAGTTTATAGATGTCTGTGGAAAATCAAAGTCCTCTGTGAGCAAACTCGTGAATTGACAAGATTTTTTGGATTATGTTTAATGTTATCTGGTTTAGGGAATTTTGTGGTTGATTGTCATATCTAGAGTACGAGCAGTAATTCAGTGTTCGCTAATGTCGCAAAGAAATAAAGTAACGTTAAGATAAGAAGGCATTACAATTGAAATGATCATGCTTTTACATTTGACAAGGGTGGATGATGTCATGTGTTTTAAACGTATATCATTTTTGTTTTTGGTTCAAAAGAAGAGGTTGGAAGTAAATGTGGGTGAAAAGTGAAATTTACTGTCTATCATTGTAAATATTAGAAAACCAAGGCAATACTTTCTCAATGAAAACATTAACAATTCCCTCTTTATCAAATCAGACAAACGGGAACGAGTTTTTAGTGATATAACTAAGCTAAGACTGCCACCGTCATTTTGGATCTCCGCCTGGGTAGATTTTAGTCACGTGCTAGGCAACATATATTCAAGAACAAGATAGAATTTCATTTCAGGCCTATTTATCAATTTTGTGGTGTATAACTTTCGCATTTTAGTACGTAATATTTATTTTGAATCTTCAAATTGTCTTGAAACTTAAAAGAAAATTGTTGTTTAAAAATTCACTGAAAATCGGTAGCTAAAATTGTTTGTTTAGGGTTATTTGATTTTCGTGATAACTTGTAATTTCCTTAGTCTCCGGCATCTTTTGTTGCTTCACACAGGAAAAACACACGATACGAAACGTAATGATCGATTTTGTCCTCAATCTCACTCAAAGGATTCAAATTCATCTCGGTTTTTGTTTTTTGTTTGTTCTTTTTTCCAGAGGATGAAAAACTTCGTCAATATCAGTGCGCAACAAACGCAAACCAAGACCCTGTTCTAAAGCCGCGGTTACACGAGCTTGCGATGGTGATGCGACTTTTTCAGTTTCACGGAATGAGTTTAATTCAAACAAGTTTCATTCGTGACCATTCACACAAATTTCATTTGGTTTCATCACTCTTAGTCAGTCTCTCAGTTGCAACATTCTGTGTCTTGACCGACCCTCCCTGAGTAGCAAGTGACCTTGAACAAAAAGTAACTCCCTACTCCTCCCCAGGGTAAGATTTGACATACACGCGATTTCGCTAAATATTCAAATTTCGCGCTCGTGCAGTAATCGGCTATATTTGAATTTACCTCGTGAATTTCGCTATTGTAATGGCAGCGAGTTTGAATTTCCCTCGTGAATTAATAAGCCGTTGTTTGGCTCTAAAGCTATTGTTTCAAGATATCCTTTTACGGATATTTGAGATACTAAACAAAGGGCATTGTCTTTGAATTTGATCAGCATTTCTTAATACGCGCCATAAAAGCTTTTAAATATCTGTAGACTCCGAGCGCTTCGCAGTTAGTGATATTTTCAATGAATCTTCGGATTGTTTTCAAGTTCAAGAACTGTAAATTACAATTTTATGAAAAACGAAGACGGTTGTCCTGTTATTTCAGTATGAATCCTTGCATGCCTGCCAGTCGCTGGCGCCGCTTATTGAAACTAAAACGAAAAAAAACTCTTTTAAGATTATCATTGGCCTCTTTTTCACCCCACCACTATTCTTAGCAACAAAGGTCGCCATTTCGTTTGTTTATTACTCGCCAAAAACTATCAAATGCACTCAAAAGCCTAATATCGAAAAAAAGTTTACAGAAATCGACCAATCGAGCGAGCGAGTGCCATTCTCACATCATATCCACAACTTGCTCTTGCGCATGCGCGCAATTCACGAGTTAAAAAGAGAAATCATGATATCGTTTAGCAATATCTGTTTGCACAAAGCAATTTATGGGTTAGTATGCACCTCTACTTTGTGAGCGCGGAATCCAAAGGTCTGAGTTTCGATTCCTCATGGGGACTCAGAAGTTTTTCTTTGTCCCACGCTCGAGACAAGACGAAAATAACAACTTTCTCTACTTTAATTTGTGATTTGTTTTGCAAAACAGGCATATTTGTAGTTTTATCATATCTCTATAGTTCATCTGAATGTATTTAAGAGATTCATTTATGAATCAGTTATTGGAAATGTGTTAAAGCGAATAAACTTTAGCAACATGCATTATGTTTCATGTTTTTCCTGATGGTATAGAAATAGATTGAAACTTGCTTTTAATCTTGGTCACGTCAAAGGGAACTTTGTAACAGTTTGTGTGGGAAAAAAGCTTCGGAAAGGGGTTATCTTACCTAGAGCCTATTACTCCAAAGGTGCTCGTTATTGAAGTGAGGAATTGAAAACATAAAATGACCTGAGGGCCCAAACCTTGGGTACAAATCATTTACACTAGCAAAAATTTGGGGTACGGACTCCTTTCTAGGTGGGTCCAATTTTTCTGCCGTATGCTTTTCATTTTAAGTTTTTGTAGTCTCTGCAACGTGAGCGTGATAAGTGCTAGTGAGTGCGGGAGCTGCGTTCTTAGCGCCGGTGTGTATGTGACTGTGATAACTGGTGACAGCGTTAGCCCTTCGTGAGAGGGATTGACGAAGGGCAAACACTCGAAACGTAAGCCTTTAAACTCTTTCCGGTGGCCAATTTACGTTTTCAACTCAGTTGTTAACACTGAATTACTTGCTATACTTTCCCACCGACGCAGCACCACAGTTTCTTTAGAAACTTATCCCCTTTATATTTTGTGGAAAATCTGATTGTTCTTTGTAAACGAATGAAGTCGGAGTGGGGTCTGCACCGATGCTAGGCTTCGTCTGTGACAAACAGGTGAAAGAATATGATTTGAAATATCTGAGTCACAGAAAAGGTGGATCTTGAATTTAGGCCTCAAATTGGTACAGCAAAAACATCCAGCAAATACATCCTGATTAACAATACAGAAATAATTAAACTACAAATAGACCCTTTTTACGAGGAAAATCACAAAGTAGAGGTGCATACTATACCCATAAAATATTTAATGCTAATCCCTTGATTTCCTTGTTTTTCCTCAATCATCTACTGAAACTGAATAGTACCATATTACTCCTTATGATTCATTCTATAACCAGTAGAATACTCAAAATGGCATAGTTTTCCCTTTTTGGCACATTTTGTTAGAAAGAGCTTAATAATCATGATAATAATAATAATAATAACTATGATTATAACAATAATAACAAAAATGATGATGGTAGCATTAATGGTAATAATGATAATAATAATAATGATAATAATAATGATGATGATAATATTAATACTGGACAGGAATTTAATAATGAACATTCCACTAGGTGGTTCTTCTCGTCCACTGTTTTCAGATCGAATTTGAATTTGTGGTGTTGGCTTTTATAAGGGGCCAAAAGATTTTTCCTAAGTATTCGCCCGCTCCTCGTCGAACTCAGGGTTTTCGTCCTTTTACATCTTTGATATCCTCACTAATTCTGGCTGCCTAGGTTTCCTATAGGGAAGAACCTCGTTTTCGATAGTTTTCCTTTATTTTCCGTCCCTCTTAGCAATCAGACATATTTCGTTGCCACGGTAATTATTAAATCTACTAGTGCATTGAAAAAAAAAAAAAAAAGCTGATATCAATAATTTTCTCAGTTCTTAAACCATTCCTTCTCTTGATATTTTTCAAGTATTTGTTTCTCTCTCTTGAAATCTGACAAACTTAGTGGCTTTCCACTACCGCCGATGAATTGTTAAAACCAGACATAGTTTGATGCTATCGGCTGGTTTGCAGATTTAATGAATGTAACTGAAGAAGTTACAATTCATAGACCCTCTATGAATTGTAACTTCTTCGGTTACTTTCATTAAATCTGAAAACCAGAGTAGCATCAAACTATGTCTGATTGTCCACCTAGTTGCCGTGTGAACTTAAATATATTTTAATTGTTAAACCGTATGTATTTTTTTAACGTTTAGCGAAATTGTTTGGCTAATTATCCCATCGTTTAATTTTTCAGACTTCCTCAAAATCATCGATCTTGAAAAGCAGGGGCATACCGTGAAGTTCTTAAGGTGTGCAGATGAGTAGAAAATATCAAGCGGCGAAGTAGCAAACTACTGAAGCTGATCAATACAGCCCTGAATCGGGAATCAAACAAGAATAAAGAAAATTATTCAGTATTAAAGGGTTAAAATACAGCAACAGTATGTATATTCAAAACAAAGGAAACCAGATGAAGTCTAATCAATATACTTTGCAAAATAGCAAATTATTTAGTGTTCCATCTAAAATGTTTTCTACGTACCCGTGATAATCATTAAACGTTTCTGTTTTAAGACTTTTAATGTTCCTTTTCTGTTGATTTTTAAGAACCCTTTAGCACAGTGGATCAAAGCGTTTTTAATCTTAGTCACCATAGATATTATTTTTTACACATTGGCTCATGCGTCACAGCAGTTTGTCAGCTCTATTTCGAGGACAATAGCAAACGCATCTTTTGTCATGTGACAGGTAACTCTGTCTGGTACTATAAAAGTCATAACAAAATGACTGAGGAAGATATGTCTGATAAATAATAATAGCACAAAGGAAATCTAAATCAGTAAACTTGTCCTTTGTTCTAAGGCAGGTAATTTTGCCTGAAAATAGTCCCTTATACAAACTGAAATGGTAGAGGAAAGTCAAATCCCAGTAAATCATAAACACTACACAACAAATATATATATTAATAAGCGTGCAAGACTTAATCAGACATGTATGTCTCCAGCTTTAGTGTGGACTTTTTTTCAAATTTTCACAACAGAATTTTGAACGATCTGTTTCTTGTGTCAAGGAGTAAGCATGCCAGGTTTTCTAATATGTTGACGGGAATCGTGAAACCTTTCCATAAAGACAATCTTCAGTACTCCACTGATAGTTGGTATTTACATGATGGTGTTAAACTTTTGAATTTCTGCCTTACATCTACGAGGTAAAACTTTAAAATTTTAATAAAATGCATAAATATCACTGAGTATGTCAAACTGTTTTGTAACTGTATTTTGATAATAAAATCTATCAATTCTTAGAAATCAGCTATAGCAGTGATCCTCGTTGGTGAACAGCAAGTTAAGCAATTACTGGATAGAAGCCTGAGAAAAAATTCAAGCTTCGTCAAGATTCGAACCCAGGCCTCACGGATACTAGTAGAGCGCTATTATCAACTGAGCTACGAATCCATAGGTTGGGTGCGGTAGCAATTTCAAAGGGTTCCTCTTTTCCGTAGAGGAATTGCAGCTCACTACTAGAACTACTTGATTTTCATCCGTAGGTCAAATAAAATTTGTTTCATTTAAGACTGTGATCTGGGAAAACTGTCAGGCTCGCATCCGATTGGCTCGTGAAACATGAACCTGTCAAACGAGGTTTCAAATTTTTCCGAGTCTGTGAGCGTCGTCCTCAAGTCGTACACATCGGAAAGTACTGAAAGTACAAAAGTGACCTTTTTTGAACGAAACAGTTTGAATAGTTTATCGTCATGGACCAGTACCATCCAATTAGTCGAGAGACAACCTCCCAAAGACATGGATGTGTTGGAAGTATGTAACAAAAGTGCTTAAACTACATTTCATTTGATCGCATTGCGGTAACGCTTCGCAGGAACCACTGCTGGTGTTAAGAAAACAGAAGGCGGCTGTGGGCAGTTTGCTATCTCATAATCAATAGTTTAAATCCGAAACCTTTAAAAGGTTCGAAGCTGCTGTGTGCCTCACACGCACACAGCAATGAGAGCCGAACTTATCATGAGTCAGCCGTTATCCCCATCTTGTTTTACATTAGTTTGCGTGGATCTTCTGTTTTGGGTCTTTGGTCCTCATTATGTAGCACCTCATTATGTAGCACCCAACATGGCCACTCTTCCGCGAACGAAACCGAACATGAACGCTACTTATTTAAAACAAGCTGCCTTCGAAAAAAGAGCTTTTTAAAGCGCAAACACAAACAAACAAGACCTTTGTGGGAGAAGTAACGAACAAGAATATTTTATCACCTATTTAAATCTATCAGTTATACTCTAAAACGTTTTTCTTCTTTCCCTAACGAACGAATTAGTTTGACATCTCTTTATAAATGTATGGAGATCACACTGATTGTTTTCTATGTATACTGACACTCGACAAAGCCTCATGCAATACTTCAGTAAAAATAATCGGGGAAAAAAATGATCGTTATTGACGTAAATAGAGAGATATATCAGAATAAAAAGTTTATCAATATTTCCAAAACTGATTCGAAGCTATCTGTATATTTTTGGAATTATAAGGCATTTTCCGAGGAAGTAGTCGATATCTTTCGGCAAACTTTTTGACCCAGTCTCCTCTAACCTAAATGCTTCCTTAAAATGGTTCTTAGCTCACTTTTCTCATTTTGATTTCTCACGTGGTGTCGTAATGTCCTCTAAGACATAACTTAAAATTCACACGGTTCTTATTAAAACGCCTAAAAACGCACAAACTACTAACATTTCTAATCTATGTTAACTAGTTTACAAAACTATAATTTTCTTTTCATGCCATCATTATCAATCAGAAAATCTAAGTATTCAGCGCCTTTACGGATCGTATATATCAATTACAAGTTCAGAATTCCAACCCTCTTGTACGGCCTCAAAAGCAGATCGTATGGTGTATTCCAGATATCCACCGAAATCGTAGTACGCTCTGTTCACTAAGAACACATCTTGTCCGTTCAGCGGTCGTCTCGCCCACTGCCGAATGGTTGTTGAGTTAAAGTTGGCCCCAGGCTTCTGAAAAAACCTACATCGTTGAATAATGAAGATGTAACATCCATAAATGTTCTTACAAAAAAAAAAAAAAAAAAAGCGCTGAAATGAACCTGTCAAAAGTGAGCAAAGTTGGCACTCGTTCGTTGGCACCTGACTTCTCTCTCCTTCTCAAGAGCTCTCTATTAGATATCCGCTGTACGTGACGACTGCAGGCGAAAAACCGAGGGCCGCTTGTTCGTCCACATACACGCGCATTGCGTTCAGCAGATATCAATAGGAAAGCCTTTGCGGAAGAGGAAGTTATGTTATGAATATGCATTGAACAAACCCGAAAACTTAGACCATGAGTTTTTAGCCAAAATGATGCATAACGTTCTGTTGACGAGGGAAAGGGATTACAACTTGAGAATCGAGGGGAAACTGTCTTAAGAACACTTCTGAGGTTTTTTTTATTTAAAAAAAAAAAGCAATAATAAGCGATTATTATCCTTTTTTTTTATTATCATTTTTCAACACTGCACTTACCAAAACCCTTCCTGCCAATATTTATACGTAGTCTCCAAAGGATCGGGAATATCACGTTGAAACTTGTACTTCAGAGCGCGTTTCAGTTCTTTGTCGATGACATCATTGGATTTAGAAATCTCCAAAAGTTTCCCCCACTTATCGCTGCATCCTCCGTTATTAGCTATTGTGTGCAAGACAGCTCTTCCGCTGGTTCCATTACCACTATCATAAAAATAAAGAACAGGAACAGGCTTTCGAGTCATAAGTCACAGTAATCCAATATAGTTCACTGATTATTTTTGCACGAGGGTGATATATCAAAAAACATCACGTGGCTTAATTTGCTTCATCATGGTCTAGATCGGAAGTATCAGCGTGATATTTCCCAGTTCCTAGATGTTCAATTCCTATTAGAGAAAAATTTTGATGCTATTTTTCAGGTGGAATTAAACTTGCTTATTCGTAAGATATACTGGAGAATATTGAAGAACTCACCTTTTTTAACTCAGAGGGAAGTTATGCACCGATCAATTCGATGTTTCAACATTACCTGGGGAAACCCAAGGAAATTTGACTGTCGTTCGCGACCCGGAGGTGGGTAATTCGAACCTTGTCTGAGTAGGGTGTGTAATTTAATTCCGTGTAATACGTGTTTTGAATTTAAAGGAGGAGTTTAGAAACAAAGAGTCCCCTTTTGTGAGCGAATGGCTCAGAAGAAGACTTTCACATCGCAGAATGATGCTTACAAGAGAAAAAACCAACAACGGCACAAAAAACTAAGTATGTGACTGCTAAATTCTACAACATTCGTTGATCACACGAAGAATCGTTTAATCAAAAATTGTGTTCGAGTGGGGCATTTGAACGCAATTTTGGCCCCGGGGGGCGGGTATTTGAACAAACTTAAAAACTTCAAATACCCGGGCGATTTTCACCGTGGAGATATTGACGCATTGTTTTGAAATTTTAAGGAAGATTGTTAAGATTTATGAGTACTAACTTGTAAGGCATGGTAATTCCCAAGCAGTCACTGCTGGATATGAACTTCTCCAAAGGCTCCAAGTTGTTGCTCTTTTGAGTGGCAGTTGTATCATTCCACCATGGTTTATCATATACTGCTGCTCCATAGAAAGCAGGCACACCAACAATTGATTCAAATATTTGATGACCTGTAATATTTCGAATGACGTCACCTTCGATCTTCTTCAGAGCAGCTGGTCCAACGGTGATAACTGTTTTATTGGCTTTCACAGTTAATTTGGTAGTTTGAAGAAGAAATTTATCTCCCTCTTTGGTGATGAAAGCAACTGTCTCTTTACGATAAAGTTTACCGCCTCCACTTTCCACTTTTTTGGTGAGCTCTTTGACGATTTCGGACATTCCTTTGGAATTAGGGGGCCTTTTCGCTTCTGATGATGTGGAGGTAACATACTCTTCTTTCTTTAGATAAGTTCTATAACTCATTGGATTTATGGCTTGCATGTAGCCACCTTTGAAGCCGAAATTTTCTGCCATAAGCTTGGTTCCCTCCGGGGACAATTCGTACGAAAGGAAAGTCTCCGCGGTTGAGAACTGCGTGAAATTTCTCTGATTATTATATATGAAAGCTGCAGTTTCCATGAGTGTCTGATTCCTGAGTGGCGCACGGTCCCGTAAAGTTGGAAAGGCATTTAACTTCAAATCATCAAAGCTATTAGCAAACTGTCCACGAACTTCGACGTGTTTAGTTTTTGGGTTCCACAAGACGTCATTGTAGTTGAATAAATGATTTAAAAGGTCCCTGAAAATGAAAACAGAAATTAATTGAATCGTACTTTTTTCCTTCTAATTTGTGTCTACGTCGTAACTTGTTAGTAGTTTACATTCTGTTATAATCTCTCAATAATTTTAATTTGCAATGTGATGTTATGGTCTCTATTACTGGCCCTACTTATTCGTTTCTGTTTTTCCCCTTTTTCTTGGATGAAATAAATCAGAGTTCAGTCTGCCCGTGATAAACAATTAACGAAAACTTGCCTCGCTCTCGAAATGTTGCTCAGTTGCCTGATGAATATATATCAGCGGGGAATGAGTTCCAATCCCTTCGAAGTCTAGATAAGACAAACAAGTCCAGGCCGCAATTCACTTGTGAGGATCAGTTATTTTCTTGTAGCTCATCTATGCCTGGGTATCCTTATATTACATCTCAATATTTGAGGATCAGCATTTATACTCAAGGATATTTCTATGAAATGGCTCGGCGTAGTTTTGTACTCTTAACAATTCCTAGGTACCATTGAGCATTTCAAAAAAACTGTCACGATTCATATTTCTTGACTACCAGCTAAGTAACAAGTTTGAGATAAATTGACGCTTACATTTCTGCATAGTTGTCAGCGGAAATGTCCCACTGCCCTAAGCCTGAAAAAAAGAAAAAAAAAAGTTTTCGTCATAGATTGGTGGAGCGAGTAAACGATGTAAAATAACTTTTAGTCCTTAATTCAACGATAGATAGCTATTGATTGCTACATAGATACAGCTTGACTTCTGGTGTTATGTTAAACTTACCAACTACAACATCCGGTACTTGGGGAAAAACATGGTCATAAATGTTTTCAACGCTGTCATCTGTGTCGAAGACGCAGACGTTTGTTTCATTCGTCTTGTCAAAAAGTGAATATGCCACCAATAAGCCACCTGCACCTATAAATTGAGAGAATAGACTTTAAAAATTGAAGAGATTACCAAAAGAATTACTTATGCAATGTCTGACTTTCTATGAAAATATCAATACACTATATGAAAACGTGACAGGGGTATTATCTGAATGTATTATCCTAATATGATGATAAATTCTCTTACTTCCTTGAAAAGAAATTTATGGCAAGTAGAAAAAATAGGGGGTTAAGAGACTTGAACAGTACACGTTTAAGATACTCAAGAGTAACGATCCCTTGCAGAATTTGATGCCAAACGGTGGTATCAAGTTCTCACCTGCTCCAACTATGGCTGTGTCGCACTCTAAAATATTTCTTTGGGGGTCCGTGGTCGGTGCTGCCGTTGTTGGCCCAGCAGCTGATGCAGCAGTAGCTATAACTGCGGCAGTAGTTGTTGGTTTTTCGGTGGTTGTTGGAGCAGTACTTGTTGGTTTTTCCGCGGTTGTTGGAGTAGCAATTGATGGTTTTTCTGTGGTTGTTAGAGCAGCAGTTGATGGTTTTTCGTCCGTTTCTTTGGTTGTGCCAGAAGATTCTGTTGGTACTGTGGTGGACTCTTCAGCACCTGATGAAATAATAAAAAAAAGTTAAAACACTTGTGTAACTTTGTTTTGTTTTGTTTTGCTTTTTTCTAGGAAAAATTATAATAAAACAACTTTTCACTTTTTGCCCTCATTGCCAAGATAACTACAAATGACTCTGACGGCTAAAACTTTTAAGCGATGCAGTGTTTGACGTTTCATAGCCTCGTTGCGTAACGTGACGAAATTGCGTAACATGACGACATTGCGTAACATTTAAAATAGGACAATGTTGCGCATCATCCCGCGCATACTTCGTCCATATTTCGTACATACTTCGCCCATACTTCGTCCGTACTTCGTCCATACTTCGCCCATACAGGCCTAAGTATGGATTTTTAAATCTAAGGGGGGGGGGGGGGAGGGGATTTGGCCTGTAGCCCCTAAAATGGAGTTGCAGTGGTGTTTGTAATTTCTATTTCTTATGATTGGTCTTTGTCCAAGTGTAGTTGATGCTCTAGTTGTCGTAGCAAAGTTTGAATTTTCGCGAAATTTTTCATTCGAAATAAGTCGGGATAGACTGGAAGGAGTCTTAAACTGTAGAGCTACATTGATTCAAAATTCAGTTGTTGTAAGTATCGCATCACAATTATAACAATTTCGTTAAGTAGTAATTACTCAGACTGCTGGTCTCGGAACAATTTAAGATCGCTACACTATCACTACCACGAGAACGTAACTTTCAGCCCGGCTACTTAGTTAAGAGGCGTCTGAACGATATAAACCGGAATACATAAACTTCAATGGGCCAATATCTTATTCCAAAGATATTACATAAAACGTCAAAATCTCCAAGTACCTCGATGTTTTCAGAGGTTATTGAGATTCGCACCAACAGGAAAAAGAGAATGTTATCTCGTATGTGGCATTCGGTTAAGTTGTCATTATTGCAACTATTTTCCAAAAGAAAAAAAAAAAAAAAAAAAAAAAAAAGAACGCTTTAACAAATAAAAGTACATATTTGAAGGCTTAAAATCCAGTAATGTAGGGATAACTCTCATAGTTTTTCGTAGGGATGTAACGCATGGTAGTCCCTATCCTTCGGCATTTTCCATATTCGTTTCGAGTGACCGTTGCACTTCGGTAGTAGGGTAGTACTGCACGATTAATGTGAAATTCCGGGAGAAAGGAGGAGAACATGCTTTTGAAGAAAGTAAATGAGGAAAGGTAAATGAACTTAATTATACAGGTGAGGACCCTTTGCCGTACTTTTCACCACTTGCCTTCGGAGCGGGGTAGTATACACCATCATAACACCAAGAGCGCGTTTTTTGCCTTACCCAAAAATATTCGCGCGAGACTCAAAATAATTTTATTCATATAAGGGTCAGAAAGGTCAATAAGCTCCATGCAGCTGACAGTTTATAAAAATAGACTCTTCTGTGAGTAGGGGGACCGTATAGACAGGACCTAGTGTTATACGGAAAGGATGCTGGGATGGTCGTTAAATGACATTCCAGTAGAAGAGGTACTACGCTTGTCTGTTACGTCCTGCAGCGCAGAAAGATTCTCGATAACATTTATGTATGTATTGTTAGATCTGTCTAAGGAAGTTTCCACAAAGCAGCTTATCAGTCTTATCATCGCTTTATGTCTAAAGTTAATATTATTTGAGGTGCTTCGAATTAAAATTTCAAATTTACAAAATTCATTATTTTTCTTGAGATTCAGTGCGATTCTTCTGTGAGTAGAGGGACCATATAGACAGAACCTGGTGTTACACGGAAAGGATGCTGGGATGGTCGGTGAATGACATTTCAGTAGAAGAGGTACTACGCTTGTCTGTTACGTCCCGCTGAGCAGAAAGATTGTCGATAACATTTATGTACGTATTGTTAGGTTTTCTCAAAGCAGCTTATCAGTCTTATCACCGCTTTATGTCTAAAGTAAATATTATTTGAGGTGCTTGGCATTAAAATTTCAAATTCACAAAATTCTTTCTTTTTCTTGAGATTCATTGCAATAAGAATGGCATTGTCATCAACAATGAAATCATATTTAGGCAAATATGCTTGAGAAGTTTATCTTTACTACTATTTTTATCATCCCAAATGGTTCTGAAATACGAATTTCCCAGTGAAAATACGATAGGATTGACATCTTTTCTTTCGAGTTTGCTTAATACTTGTGCAATGTTTTGCTTCGGAGCAGTATACGACCTCCAATTCCGATCCAGTAATCTAGTATGCGATGCATGCTTGTAATCTTCATTCATTGACGGTAATATACAATATCCTTACATTTCTCTTTCTTGTCGAAGATCACTCATTGTCTTTACAAATCATCATAAAACCTGTTACCTACAGTTTTAGTTAATAAGTTTTAGAATATAACAGTTCGCATCTGTAACATTGAAACGTGACCACAATTTTAAAAACAATTTCCTGTGTCGTAGCTCTAATTAGTTTTGGCGTTGAAAGTTCACATTTTTGATTCGATAATTGAATTCTTTGTACATTTCACTGTCATCTTTGATTATTTGATCACGATTTATTTCAGATCAATAGAATGTCCTCATGCAACGCGCAATCAAATCGTCTCATGAGAAAGAACCAAAGCTAGATCAGTATACCTGTCTGTAAAGAAACGGAATTAAAACCAAAATGAAATATGAATGAAAACTCAAAGGTCGGTTTCGTCAGCACCCGCCTGTGCTTTCAACAAAAAGTTTGACATGAAACAGCATTCCTTCGTGTCCACGTTACGTCAGCTCAAAGTCAACATATTTTATCTTCTTTCCTGTAGCACATTACCTCCACTTTTGAGTGAAAAATTTCAAGAAGAACAAACATCACGAACTATGTAACCGTTCTTTCTGTTTACCACATTTTAGTGGATCCGCTATGATATAATGCACGCTGAAGTTTCCGTCAACCAGTATTCGGTTATGAATGGAAACTATTGAAAAGTTGTTAGTACAAGCTCGAGCGTACATCGAGTGCCTTTGTCATTTTCAAAAGGGTAAACTTATCAGAATGTTGAATGTTTTTCTCTCTCTCTTTAGACTATCAGTAAATTACTTCAAGTGAAGGGTTGCATTCTAGAATTTGTCGTAAATAAAATGATATTTACTTCATAATTGAAGGGCTTTGTCATCTAAACTTTTGTCTGCGCAAAATGCAAGATCTCTATCTCAGAGATTTAGTTCTCTGAATCTCACTACGCTCTATCTGTGACGTTCTCGTCCGACGTAAAGGTGTCAATCCCTAATTTGAGGTAGACAAAGACAATTAACACCTAACATGAAAGATCACGCAAGGAAAATTCATTCACTGTGATGTTTAACCTGCAATCCATGCTGCACAAACTTTATTTAAATGACAGTTGTCACAAGTTCAAAATAAAGTTGCTGGGTTGTCAGTGAGGGTCTCGCAAAAGTTCTCTCTTATTTTGAAAGTCGCAGATCTGACCTTTTACGTCTTCGTTTTGTTTTGTTTTGTTTTTTTGCCCCTCTAATTGTTGTTGAGTTTTTCTTGACCATTTATCCCGTCTGAGGGTTTCGAAATTAACTCGAGGTCTTGATTTTCTAACAGAATTGTCCTAATATCCACTGTATCCTAAGCAAGCTAAGTTGAAATCACGAAACATCGCCAGTCCTATACACTTCACCTTCAAAGCTTATGAAACAAGAGCCTCCCCAAGAACATAAAATGCCAAGGCAGAATAACTGATTAAACGCTTACAATAGTTTACTTAATGAATTACAGAAGTCATGCATGCTGGTAATCACATCTTGAAAGGATTATAACCTTCGAAACCTGCTTTTTGTATCAGTCCTCAGCTTTTAATTTTGCATATATATATATATATATTTTTTTCGTATAAGATAGGCTTGGGCCGGCGCTAAAACAAGAGAGGCGTGCATTTGGACCTTTCGCCACCTTGAAGACAATTATGAACAATTACACAAAATGCTGGTTCCTGATAAACTCAACGTGTACAGTTACCTTTACAGCCGCCTTCAGGAGTGTCTGATCCGATCCTTTTCGAGTATTTCATATCTGGACTTCTGGCAGGGCCAAACATTGCGATTATAACTACTAGTGCACTAATAATGACGATTATTATAAACAGGAATAGCAGAATATGCCACACGCGAAAAGTGCATTTTTTATGGAAACAGTCGCAGCACGAGAAAGTGCATCTCTTTTTTGAATAATACTCCTGTTTCGTCATGTCGTATCCTTCTTCGCATATTCTTAACGTTGTCGAGCTGTCGAATGTCTGAATGTTGGACATTTTCGTGCGGTTTCTGTTCAAATCTAAACAAAGTTTGCTGAACTTGACTATATTATAGTGTCGCAAGAAATTTGACTCTAAGGTGATAACCCTTTTGATTTGAACGGAGCGCGCTTTCTCCGCCCAGATGACAGGCAGAAGCTACTGTAAACAAACAACCATGGAATACTTCTAAATTGTTTTAATTTTTCTTTTTGCCTTTTAACTCAATGCTGCATTCCTTTTCAAACATCACAAGACTTTGTAATAGTCACTCATTTCTACTTCTGAAACAGACCATATTTGAAGAACTATCATGGTCACAGCATTTTCACGCAAATCCAGCTCTGCTCACGCAATAAATGTTACGTGCATGCATGTAGAGCGTACATCGAACATTGTTAGCTTAGTTAATCTCTTTGACACTAACTTTACATGGAAGACTTGATTAATTTTGAAGTGTGCCTTTGACATACCATTTTTGTGTTAAAACTGACATGAACTCATCCAGGAGTACAAATTGGTATAATTTGAGATGTCTCGGAAAACAAAGGCCGCCACATTGGCGCTTGTTTCCATCTTTCTCAAGTGCTCTCAAATAAATGAAGAATAATGTGACAGCTTAATGCAAAGCTTTGGTTTTATAACATACCGACTTCTGATGTTGTCTAGATTTGGTTTCAACCTTGACACAACCGAAGCTTCAAAGTAGAGGCTTTCTAGACGGTGAAAGACATGTTTTTATTAATAAAAACGCTTATAACCTGGGGTTACGGTGCTCTCGAAATCAAGAAGCCCAATTTCTTTTAAGGTGAGTCACGAGTTTTCTTACGTGAGTGTCCGTCTTGCGTCAAAACGCCGGCTCTGCTGAAAGATTATTTGATATGATTGATTGATTGCAATATTTTCCTCCTTTTTTCAAAACCATTTTCATTAGCCTTTATCTCCCAAGATAAATGATTTAGCCCTGATGGATAGGGCCTGTCATAGACTGTCTCAGTGAGAGATCGTAGCGCCATTGTGGCTCAGATTAAACTGTAGTTTAGTTCAAGAGATTATCAATTGATTATCATTTGGTTAGTATTATATTAATACAGTACGTTTAAGGAAATAGTTTTAATTTTATCAGTGACTTGTTTTTTCTGGGTCTGCCATAATAAGTGACAACTCTGAAGATACAGTGTCTTGGTTATTTAATTAAAAGAAATAACTTTCCAAGAGTTTCTCTATTAGCAGTGTTTTTGGCAAGCCATGAAGTAAACAAGTGAGCAACAGTGAACTTATTGACTTAGTGCCAGAATAAAAAACTCTATTGAACTTAAAAGTATTCAGGTACCGAATAGAAAATTTGTACTAATTTTGAAACAGTAGCTACCCTCATTCATAATTCACAGAGAATAAAATAAGGACAGATCGATAAATTATTAGCAAAAATACATGCCTCCGTGCATAAGCTTGAAGAAGTGAAAGCTTGTGGGCAAACCATTGGGGCCATAAAATGTATTTGAACAACTAAAAGCGGCACACTGCTTTCCTTCCTTTTTACCATAAAAATTAGCGAGATTTCGGCTAGGACCATCCATTTTCCAAGAAAATCGAACAATTTTACTGCCCACGTACGAATTTCACCAAAAACGCTCACAGAGATAAAGCACAAGTCAACCCCAGCCTCGTTCTCACGTGTGCGCGCTTACATGTCCTCGTGAGAACTGTAAAAAAGGCTATTCGAAAGAGTTGCATTATCTTGCGATTTAGAAAAACGCTCTTCATTTCGTTGCACCAGCTTCTGTTCAATCCTGCGTCTCAAATTGTCCTTTACGGACGGTGTGGATAAAGATTCTTAAGATGAAGACGACTCGCACACAGCTTCCGTACGCAATTTCGCCTTTGGCACCTTTTCATCGTCTTGATTGAACTCTTTTCAGGAAATTTTCTGCGGAAGGGCCAGAATCAGAAGACGGATAACTTTTGATACACACGAAAACTCAAAAAATTTAAAATAAAAATAAAAATACAACGATGATCCGCACTCCTGCTAATTTTTTTGGCAAGTGTGAAAAAATTTGCAAAGGATAGTGGGATATGTAAGGAAAGGAAGGATTGGAATACTGGAATACAGCAAAAGAAAGGCGGAATTTGAGTGGTTTTGATATGAAAACGTCCCCGCATTAGGCCGCCATTTTTTTTCTTCGCTTTTCATGGATCATATCACTTAAAGTGAGCTCGAGTAGCCTATTTCCCGCGAACAGATAGTCTAAAAATAAACCATTCTGTGAAAACGGCGTCACATAGAGTCAGTATGGGAGTAGTTGAACGCTCCAAGTAATGGGCTCCTGACATGTTCAGTGACCTATATGAATTTAATTAAAGTTTCAAAGCTTTGCCTCGTAGATGTAAGACAGAAATTCAAAAGTTTAACACCATCAGGTAAATACCAACTATCAAAAGTCCCTTCAGTGGAGTATAGAAGATTTTCTTTATGGAAAGGTTTCGCGATTCTCGTCAACGCATTAGAAAGCATGATAAAAGAGTTGATTTCGGTTAACATGACATGAAGCTTGCGCATGGCATACTTACCCCTTGACACAGGAAACAGATGGTTCAAAATTCTATGGAATGAAAATTTACAAAAAGTCCACATAAAAGCTGGAGACATACATGTTTTTATCAACCTGAAGACGGGAGTCATAATAATACAGTGGGGGGGGGAAGCAAGGGGAAAAACACAGGCAGGTGGGAGAACGTGTAACGGGAAGTGGGTCACAGTGACCCTCTGTTCTTCCCTCCCAACCCCCACTGGTTATGGAGCCCACATAAATTAAGAAAATTAGCATAAAATTCCTCTACAGAATTGCAATTTTGCAGTTGCAAAATGCTGTAGATCTGGAAACTCCCATCGAAAATCCTTAATCTAATATGTCCATTTGCGACCTAAGATCCAAACCCAAAAACAAATGCATTGGATGATGCCCTTTTGGAGGACTAGAATGTACAACTGCCATTTGATGTTCTTATTAAAAGTTATAATTAGAAAGCTTAAGCGACCTTTATTCTGGAATCTTCCAACCAGGCCTATTTGAGAGAGCAACAAATACTTGAAGGAATGCGTTGAGAAGCGTGAAAATTATTGATATCTTTATTTTTACTATTATCATTAACTCAATGCACCAGTAGATTTTATGATTACCATAGCAACTAAATATATCTGATTGAGGAAGGGATAACAGGGAAAAATTATTGAAAACGAGATTCTTCCCTCTAAGAAACTTAGGCAGCCAGAATTAGAGAGGATATCAAAGATGTAAAAGAACGAAAGCCCTGACTCTTTTGGCTCCTTATCATAGCATGAGGATCTGTCTTTTCCATGTCATTCGCACGTGACAAACGCAATCAAAAGATTAATCCCAGTAGGATCGAATTTCTCACTAATATTCAACTGGATTCAAAAACTTTATGGCCTCAAGAACGCAGTGTTTAGATTCTTGCTCAAACTGCTTGAAATGTCTGCTGTACATCCACAGCCACTCGAGCCCTCATTCGCTCTTACAATCAGCGAGGATGGAGATCATGTTACGAAAGACAGATTCTCTTCGGCAAGCTGCGATTGTTGTCACAAAAGATATCTTATATGCAATTTTCGAGTGTGGCAACTTCTGCTATTGCTGTTTGCAATACTCGTCATCATGGGCGGAATAGCGGTTTTAGCTGCAATCTTTGGTTCCGGAAAAGCCAATCTTGAAGAAGATTTTAGAGGTATTTAAAATTAAATATCTCATCTAGAGATGAATGACTTTTTTAAGGTTACGAGTTCTGGCCGCACGTGTTTGTATTGAGGAAGCAAGAGGTTAGTCTAGAATTTCGCTGTGCCGTTTTGAGGCCTAAATGCAAGATCCACCCTTTTTGTGACTCAGGTCAAATCATATTCTTTCGCCTGTTTGCCACAGATGAAGCCTGCCTTCGGCGCAAATCCTAATCCGACTCTATTAATTTACTAGGAACAATCAGATTTTCCATAAGATAAACGTGAAGTACGCCATGGTGTTCAACATTTTATCAAATTTTTAATCAAAGAAACTTATCTGCTTAAAATCCTTAGTGTTGTTTTCAACCCTCCAGACACTCTTCAACCTCAGTCGAAAGTAAATTTTGTTTTTCTTATGATGCAAGTATGGTTAAAAGTTTGCTGTAGTCAAGCAACGCTGATAAGCAAAATTTTTTTCCAATGTCGATGACTGGACCTAAAATGTTTCGATTGTGTAATAAACCAAATTAGTTGACTGACAACAGGAAATCGTTTTTGTAATTATGTACCATGCAAGAAAGGGATAACTCTTTGTGAGAGAGTAACACTGCTTGTGATCAGAGAACACCGCCTTTACAGTGATATTTTGATTTAATAGAAATAAACCTTTAAAAACTCTACCTAATGTGACATCGCGCGGATATGATCTCCAGCGGTCGGAGAATCCAGCAAACAAATAACTGAGACTCAACAAGTCATGAAGGTTGAACATCACGTCACAAAATGTAAATGCCCTCGTCGTAATAATGAGGGTGTGGTAAGTGTTCACAAAAGATTTTGCATAACTTTTTTCTAATGAAAGCGATGTGACAATTAGCAGAAATTCCTGTGTGTACGAGTAACAACAATGTATGAGAATAAGATCGAATGAAATGAGCGCGGGAGATAAGTGTTAATGCGAGTGGGATGTAAGCATTGCCTGGCATCTACCTTGTAGTGTAGGCTTCTCATCAACACGATTTAACGTTACAAGCTTGTGATCGTTGTTTTCCGACCGGCCATACTTGATTTAGAGTAGGGAAAGGTATCAGGGAAAGTTGAGAAGATAATAAGATGTTAATTTTCAACGCAAACGCTTTGAACAAAACGATGAACGTCACACGAACCTTGCTAAGTACGGACAGATAGAGGAACCTGAAAGTGAAAGCCAGTCTTATCAATAAGAACATAAAAGCCACGTGGACGCTTGCCAATTTAAGAACTGAGAAGAGTTTGTTGT